GAGTACCAGGGCTGCACCACCCAGCTCTACCCCAGCGACGACCCCTGGTTGACCACCGACACCGTCTTCGCCGTCAAGCCCGACTTGGTCGTCGACTTCAAGCCCCTCGAGGGCGACAAGACCGCCACCCTCGAGCTCGAGTACAACGTCTTCCTTGCCCCCAAGGGATACAAGGGCTTGTTGTAAAGAGCTGGCTGAGGCGGACGGAGCCTGCCGCGAGGAGAGATGACAGAGGAGAGAGAGAAGATTTATTGGCTTTAGCGTGTACATATCATCATACATACCTTTCCTCCCCTGCACAGGCGGGGGATACCGGCAAGCTGGATGGATGGAGGTGTTTTTTTTTTTTTATATTACGCCCCGCAGCTTGCTGGAGGCATACAGTTAGCGATTGCTTCTTGTTTACGTGAACGTTCAATATCACACAACAACAAAAAAGTTGAAACCATCGATGCGTGGCTGTTAAGGACTGTGTTATGTGACTCCTTGGATGGATTTGCTTGTCATGTCTGTAATCTTGACTGTCTGACGCTTGTGTTTCACAGTGGAGACGCAGTAGCAACTGCTGACCTTTTTCCCCTTCCCATGATCTTTGTGAGCGAGCCTCAAACTTTGTACGAGGGATGGTATTGGCGAGGTCGTTACATGCGAATACGGGTTACACCCGACGCCAATAGAAACTCGGGGCGGGTCCTGTTCATGGAGAGGGAGGAAGCTGCTAATGGGACGACTTTCTTCCAACCTAGCGTGGTGCTACCGCCTAGCCCTGGATTGGAGAACGGAGCTTGCTCTCAGGCAGTACGTACCAGTCTATACCTGGTGCCGAAACAAGAAGTCACGACGAGGAGGACCACAACAGTGAGATGCGCCAACGCCAATCTAAGATTTCTAAAACAGATCAACCAATGACAAAATCTGGGAAAACATCACCATCCGGCAGCCTCTACCAAAAAGCGTGACAGCGCCTCACCAAATCCAAAAATGAATGAAGAAACTGAAGCCAAAGATTACCCGGCCGACCTCAGGTGCGTCGACAGCTCGATGAGCATCTGGCTAGAGCGGCTCGTTGGACGAACTTCGTAAGAGGATGAGCTTGAGCACGTCGTCTTGCGGCACGAGATAGCTGGTAGCCTTGACGGCTTAGCCGCTCCTCCACGCCTTCATTCTCACTATGTATCCGACTGAAATAGCCGTGCCCAGGTTGAAAGAGACGCCCAGAAGGCCCTGAAATGTGCCGCCCGCCGCATAGTTAGCCTTGCTGCAGTTGTCGACCACGCCGGTCAAGCTGCGGAGGCTGAGCTGTACCTCGGTTCCTTCTGCGGTGTCGGGGGCAACTAGGGCTGCAATTATGTCGATGTCTTTCAACTCAAATGAAGTGGCAGTCTTGCCCCCCCCCCATAGCGGTAAACTGGCGCATGGCTTCGCTAGCCATACTGAGCAAACCGTCTTCGGGAAGACATAAGGTCAGGTACGGTACCCTGAGATTCCAATCCGCAAAAGGAGTCTTTTTGTTTCCCTCGTCAACGTTCAGGCTCGGCGGGATATAGTCTATCTCCAGGGCCCCCGCGAAGACGGCCGTCTCGGACCCGGCCATTTTTTCCAGGGGACTTCCCGCTGGGTGTGAAAGACTTGGTTGATTCATTCCCGTCCTTGAGTGCAAGCACCAACCGCCTTCTGGGTGGAAAGGGGGGGCTGGCTTACCGCTTTTGAGAGCCTCGGATACTGAGTCTAGCTACAGACGGCATTGAGGGTCCATCTCCACAGTCTCTCAGCGCCGGTGGCGTCGCCGGGAGGCCTGCAGTCATGCCGATGATGGCAATAGGGACATCATGGCCGTAGACGCTGTCTTTGAACAGGTGGGAGCCAGGAGGCGGCAATGGTAGATGGCCATGACTCCAGCTCCGACTTCCAAATCAAACCTTAACGTGTAAAGAACCGAGAGAAAGAAAGGAGGAGGCTGGCTAATTAGTCATTACTAACCAGGTACTATCGAGTCGAATATGATGGCGCTCGTTCCAGTTGAATCTGAGTTGAAGGCGACAAGTACCAGACGGGCGTCCCGTACAAAGCCCGAATCAATGAACAATAGAAATCAAACACGTTTAGTCTGTTGGACGAAACCATGCCCCGGCTCTGGATGACGCTCATCCTCGAATATATTTTTCACGTTTTTGTCCCAAAAGGGCGTCAAGGCTATTAATCGAGGGTGCGGTGCAAGTGGTGGGCGGAGACATTGTCAGAAAAAGAAAAACAACGAACATCCCTCCATGAATGCACGCAGCCTCAAGCAGAGATCATCGGATAGATCAGTCTATCAGCGGCAGTCGCCATGGGACAACCGTTCGGGACGGGTCTTGGCGAAGGGGCAAGCAGGCAGGGAGGCAGCAGCCCGAGTCGTAAGTTGTTCCTTCCTTGGTCCACTAGCGTAATGTTTGTCCTAAATATTGGTAGGCACGATCGGTCTGCACTCCGCTGGTGCAAGAAGTGGGTACACAGACAAGCCCGGCAGCTACGCCCATTACCAGGGCGGGGTTCCGAAAAGTCTCCGTCCGGAGGAATCTTTGAGCCGCGATACCGCCAACGACTTTAAGCAGGCCAAGGATAACATGCGATATGCAGCTGTGATAGGTAAGGTACTTACCCGACCTTAATTGAACGCAGACGCTTCCGCCGCCGCCAGGAAAAGTAATATCAGACATTTAGCATTGCTCGAGCCTTTGGTGCGATCGCTCGTTCCTTCGTTGATTCTCGGCCCCTCGCTAAGCGCCGCTCAACCTTTGCCGCACCATCGAACTAGGTACTTGATCGGCCTCACCATGTCGGCGACCGCGGCCAAGAAGAAGACGGTGCTCGTCACAGGCTGCAGCGAGGGCGGCATCGGCTTCGCGCTGGCCAAGGAGTTCCAGGCGCGCGGGCTGCACGTGTTCGCGACGGCGCGGTCGGTGGCCAAGATGGCGGCGCTCGAGAGCCTGCCTGACGTGACGCTGCTCTCGCTTGACGTAACGTCGCCGGCGTCGATCGAGGCCGCCGTGGCCGCCGTATCGGCCCATACCGCCGGCACGCTCGACTACCTGGTCAACAACTCGGGCTCGCAGTACGTCATGCCCATCCTCGACGCCGACCTGCAGCGGTCCAAGGACATGTTCGACGTCAACGTGTGGGGCCTCGTCGCCACCACCAACGCCTTTGCGCCCCTGGTCATCGCCGCCAAGGGCTCCGTCGTCAACATTGCCTCCATCGCTGGTCTGATGTACCCGCCCTACATGGGTACGTACGCTCCCCATAACATAACATACCTATCTTTGCATTCCAACAAGAACACCCACTAACTTTGATTCTTACCTCACTGTATAGTCCTCTACGCAGCCTCCAAAGCCGCCGTGGGAACCATAAGCGAGGGTTTGCGCCTCGAGCTCAAGCCCTTCGGCGTCAAGGTGGTGACCGTCATCACGGGCGCCGTCGAGACCAAACTGTTTGCCAACGCGCCCGAGCACCACCTGCCCGTGGGCTCACTCTACGCCGTCGCCGAGAAGGAGATCGCGAGCCGTGCGACGGGCACCGACGTCGGTGCCCAGACCATGTCGCGCGAGGCCTACGCCCGGTCGCTCGTCGGCGACGTGCTGCACGGCGCCACTGGCAAGGTGTACCGCGGCAAGATGGCCACGCTGGTCCGCCTGGTCACGTCCCTGTTCCCGACCTGGGTCATTGTAAGAAAAGCCATTTCCCCGTCTGAGATGCAATTGCGGATATTACCTATGGAATATTATCATGAAAACAGACAGAACTGACAATAAAGTAGGATATCCTCTCCATTTCCAATACCGGGCTGGATCGTATCAAGCCCTGATTTAAATCGGGGGAGGAGTCGAGGAGTTACCTAGGCAGTGAATCTTCTTTTCTTCTGCTCTTTTGTGTTATTCTCAAACTCGCGACAAGGATAGAGCAATGTAATTGTGTGCTTGGATTGGAATTGTATATGTACTGGGTTGTTTAAACTGAAAAGGGGTTAGCATATGATATACCTGAGTCCTGAGGTAAAAAATTGTTTTACTACCATGTAGGTCCCCGACCTGTAGGCAACGTAGTACTGGGGTAAGGCAATTTTGGCTCCGCGAAATTCAATGGCATACCAGGTGACTAATAAGGGGCAAGTAAACCCACTTTGGATGCAGACCTGGTAGTAGCATAGATGAAAGAATGACAGACAATCGACCAACAGCCACCCAGAGTATAATTCACACATCTGGTTCAATCATACATCTCCGCTAACCAATCATGTCGCCCATTCTATAAACTTACTGTGTGAATCACGCAGTTCATCAACCAGCGCGCCGTCGGCTCGCCGCCACGGCGCTGGCGATACTGCTGTACAAGCACATCAACCTGGGCCGCTACGTGCAGCAGACCAGGGCAACAGGTCTCCTCTACGTGCTGCCGCCAGCGCTGGAAACCGAGATACCCGCCTTCATCGCCACGCCGGGCAGTCCTGCGGGCGCTCTACTAATGGACGCGCATCTGGGCAAGGGCCAGGCATGGAGGGTGGCAGGTTGGGTGTGGATTGTTTTGAATTAAACGGGGGGAAGAAGAACGAGAAAATATAATTACCTTAACGTTATGCATTGTTTCATTGCAGATTGCTCGACCGAATGCGAGAAAGTGTCGATATGCCAATGCGACTTTGTAATTGAAAGTTAATCAATCGGGAAAGCCACCCGGCAGAGAGTGACAGGCAGCCAAGCAAAGCATAATCACCTATGCAAACGCTACAGTGCTGCATCACTCGCTGACCTCGTTTTACGCCCGGGCCCGCCTCGATCGTATCGATATAAACAATGAAGAAGTAAATGAAACTCATGAAAAATAATTACAATGAAAACCAATCCACGATAGTCTCTCCGTTCTCCCTGCTCCTCGGAGGGTAGGTGTCACGCGCGAGTCAGAGCAGGCTGACTTGAGCGGGTTTCCCAAGCCTCCGATGCATCAAGAGCCAATACTCAACAGCCGTTATAGTATAGTGGTCAGTACTTCCGCTTGTGGGTCTGCAAAGCCTTCTAGTTACGCGGACAACGTAGGTTCGATTCCTGCTAACGGCAATAAACTTTTCTTTTTGCTTTTTTCTCTTTTTCTTTTCTCTCTTTTTTCTTTTCTCTCTTTTTCTTTTCTCTCTTTTTCTTTTCTCTTCCATCTTAAAGAGGAGTGAGTCATGGTGGCACATTGAAGGCTCCCTTTTTGTCTACCCAACCAACTATGTGTCTTTTCGGTATCTCACACATCCACCCACCTAGCATAATATGAATCCATTCTCAATTTCGATTAAACTACCAAAGGAAATAAGACCAAACAAGCGCAACTTTTACCTGTGTGGCAGAAATAATAACAAAGGCACGCGACTAACATTCGAAAAGCATCAACCAAATATGATTGCGCTCAAGTTTCTACGTGACGGACCGTCACTTATCTGGCAGTCAGTCTTCTAGAGACTAAAATCACACACAGCCAACGATTACCACCGTTCGTTACCGACAGTTTGACAGTCTCCACCGCCGTCAATGGCAACTGTTTATTCTGCCACTTGGTGGGCAGGCGGGCACCTAACCAAGGCGTAAGTAGTCGAGTCGGAAATCTTACGTGCCCAAACCCTGGCAGCGTGCGGTGCCGGAGACTTTCCGACTCTAGACATAAGCAATTACCTATCTAGACAGGTTCATTTGCGCAACTGCCGAACTCTCCTTATGGCTTGAGCCTCGGTTGAGAGGCAGTTATAGCAATCCGTATTAAATACTTAACCTCCAAGGTTTATGTAATAGTAGTAGCTTAGTCACGCCAGAGATAATTCTTTGACTTCCATCTGTTCAGCTGCATTTCTCACGTGCCAAGTCTTTCAAATTCACCGCGACTCATTCATCACAATCAAATGGCCAGCGACGCCATCACCCCGTTCACGGTGTCCATCGGCTATCCCTAGGCCGAGCTCCAGCGGCTGCCCACTGGCCTCGCCGGCCAACGGGGTCTCACTGGCCCTGATGCAGGATGTGGCCCGGTTCATTCTAGCTGCACGAGTAATACGAGGGCGCGCTGAGGAGAGCAAGATTAACCAGATCAGATGCCCCAGCTCCAGCCGCATCATCACCATCAAAATCGACGAGTTTAAGCCATTCGGCATGCACTCTCACTCACCTGGTCCAACAACTACTCGTAAGCGCCCGTCGACCTTGCCACCACGCGGATCTGGTCGGCTTTCCTTCGCGGAAACTGGAACTGGAAGCATGATCGATTGATTGGGAATGGCCCGCGGAGTGGCTGTTGCCTCAGGTAATTACCTACCAGGTAATCAACTGTTGCGCCTAAACGAACAGCTAGGAACACAGAAAAACAAAAGCCCAGTTTTCAATCAAAGTAATAAAATGCACCAGATAAAACAATCATGCGCCCTGCGGGGGAATGATAATGAAAAGTTGCAACCCCATGAATGTGAACAAAACATGGCAAAATTCCTGGCACTGCACGACATGATATTGGTGGGGTTGCACAGCTGCCGCTGATTCTATTCTGTTCTGCAGTAATCCAATTTGCCCTACATATACCGATAACCCGGCCAAGTTTTCCATCAAACGAATTACGTTCAGTTGTTGCCTCTATAGCTCAGTGGCAGAGCGTTGCACTTGTAATCATAGCGTCAAACACTATATTATCAGTGATATGCAAAGGTCCCTAGTTCAATCCTGGGTGGAGGCAGATTTTTTCTTTTCTGTTGCTTTTTTGTTTTTCCACCTCAACGTGATTACCAGAGCCATCGTCTATCCATCCATCCATCATCTTTAATTCTCTCCGTCTCGCAATTCCCTACTTTTTTTCCTTCTTTTTTTCTTTTGTTTCTCTATTCGCCACTTTTTTTTCCCTTTCGTTTTATGAAAAACCTAACCCTTGAATTATCAATAACATTTATTTGTCAATCAAGTTTTGTATATTCTCATGTAACGTAAAGAGAGGTGGCACTTCATATGCGCAGCCCGGCTCGTCCATGAGGCTCTTCATCAAATCTCGATTTCACCAGGGAAGCATCCGATTTACCTGCCCTGCTGCCTTGTATTTTTCTTCTTTTATACGTTTCCCTCTCTCATCTAAGAGTCTGCCACCCAAATGTTGCAGCAAGAGCGGCGGCCGTGACGGTGTCTGAAATACATATTTATTGAGACAAATCATGCGAGTGAATATCAACCAGCATGGTATTCTCACGGCACCACACAAAGTATCTCTATACAACTGCGGGTAGGAGTAGAAACCGTAAGTAGCACACGGCCACCCTATCAATCATCCGCATTCTCCCACTCGCCAACCTGCACGGGGCTGTCGCTCAACACCTCAACGACCACGCCGTGCGCCGACCGCCTCCCCCCAATCTGTTCCACGACCAACCACAGCCCGCCGCTCCTCCGAACCAGCTCGGGATCCAAATCCACCTCCGACGTCCGCAGCCCCAGCGCGGCGTCCACAAACTCGCCCTCGCCCGAGATGGCCAATACAGTCCTCCGCGGCCCGGAGCCCAGCTCCAGCGCCACTCGGATCGCCGACGGCGCAGCACCACCCCCGCTGCCACCGCTGGCGCTGCCCGACCGCGCCAGCACACTTGCGCGAGTCAGCCGTCCCACGCCCACCCGCGCGCGCAGCCGCTCCTCCCCGTCGCCGAACCGAGCAGGCGTCGGCGCCGCGGTACGCAGCCGTCCCGCGGCATCAGCGAGCACCGGCTTCAGCGTCAGCGGCACGGCAGCGCACACGCGCAGCGAGAACCGCCCCGTCTGGCCCGGCTCAAAGGTGCTTGCCACGACGGTGTACGTGCCCGCGTCGGCGGCGGCCACCGACACAAATGTGCATCCGCGTTGGTATTCCACGCTGCTGCCGAGCAAGTCGCGCCCGGCGACCGCCGTGACACGCTGGCCGCCCGAGGAGAAGAGGACCGCGACGTGCACGGCCAGGTCGGGCAGGTCGGTGCTCAAGACGAGAGTGAGCGGGGTGGCGCGGGGGAGCGTCAGCGCGAACTGTGGGTTGGAGAGATAGCTTGCGTGGGCGCTGCTGCCGCCGGCGGTGCGGCGGGTCCAGGCGCCCGAGACGGTGGTGTTGTGGGCGAGGGCCTCGGCGGCCGGAGCGACGGTCAGGGGTTTGCAGGAGAAGAAGGAGAGGGTGAAGGAGTATTTGGGAAGGGGGAGCTCGTCCTGCGCGACGACGAGGGTTTGGGCTGTGCCGGGGGTGGGGTCGTATCGGAGGAGGGTGTTTGGGCTGTCCACGTAAGGGCCCTGGTGTAGGCAGCGGTGGCCTTCGGTGAGAGGGACACGGGTCCCTGGGGGCGATGTTGCGAACAGAGCCAGGGCCATGAAACCGAGCTGCTTGGAGACAGTGGCGAGAGAGCTGTCTCTCTCGGCTTTCCGTTGGCGGAGGATGTTGAGCTCGCCGTCTTGCCAGTGTCGACTGAGGAGGACCCAGACGGGACTGCCCGAGGGCGAAAGCACGCTGTACTGGGGGTTGTGGGTGAAGATGAGTTCCTCGGTTTTGCTGGGGATTTCCCACGAGAAGTGGTGGTCTTGGCGGTAAGTGAATAGGGATGGGCTCCAGTTGACGTAGAGGGAGTCGAAGTGCTGGAGCACGTCCTCGAATGTCATCCAGAAAGTGTTTGTCATGTCATTGGATGCCGATCCTACCGTGTGCACGCTGAGAGTCGCCGACGACCCAACGCCGGTCCACACGAGGCTGTCACACCATGGATTCTTGACGAGGAAGAGGCGGTTGTGGGCGTCCCGCTTCAGGTCGAGAACGGCATAGTCGTGTTCCTTGACTAGCCCGAGAGTTTCTTCCTCCTCGCGCGACAGGTTGCCGGTCCCGAGGGTAATGATGGCGTTGCCTTGATCATGGGCCGTCTTGATCCTGTTCCACGTCTCATCGAGCTCGATATCGTCGCTGGATTGTCCTTGCCAATTAATAATCCATGCACACCCATACGCGTCGTCGACCTCGCCATGACGGGGAGTAGTTACCTTTGCAGGAAGATCTGCTCGGGGATCCAGCCAGTGAGGGCGTGCAGATCCGTGCCCGAGTTGCTGCCTGGGAAGTCATAGCCGCCGCGAATCTTGAGGTAGGCTTTCTCGACCAGGGCGGGCCAGATGAGCATGGGGTTGCGTCGATCAACCACATACAGCGTACGGTGAGTCGACGACACGGGAAGTCGGTCATCGATGGTGACCTGGCGCCAGCAGCCGTTGAAGTTCATGCGGAAGACATACTTGCCGTTCTCCGAGACAGCCGGCCGCATGGCCTCTTGGTCAAAGGGGTACATAAGCGAACGCAGCAGCGAGCCTTTGCTGGGGCCCAGATGGCGGACGGCAGCACACAGACTCGCAACGACGGAGCAATCGGTCGCCAAGTCCTGGGCGAGGTCGATCTCCGAGGCCGCCTCCATGAACTCTCCTGGGTCGGCTTGGGCAGCGGCGGGGAAGATGTCGACCGGACGTTTCCATCCGGCGAAGATGGCTTGCTGCTCCGCCGACAGAGAGAACGACGACGAGTCGCTTTTGCACAAAACAGAAGTCAGCTGAAAGGTCAATGGGGTAAAAGCCATCTGGCAATGCTTTTGCTCCATCTCCATACGCACACGTATGCAGCCCCATCGGTTCCCGACTTGGAGAAGGAGGCGGGGATGGGGTCTGATTCCCAGGGCACGAAGAGGTTGCCATGGAGCCGAGACGACCGCAAGACGATGGTCTGCTCCGCCGCCGTCAAGGGCCGCGTGGACTCGGGAACCGGCGGGCGCGAGGACCCGGCGACGGCGTTGATGTTGGCCTTGAGGCGCTCTCCGAGGGCAATGAGCTCCTTGCATCGGCGGCTCAGGCGGCTGCGCTCCGAGGGCGTGGCCGCTTTCCCAGCCACCTGCATGTAGCATTGGGCAGCGGCAATGGCATGTTCAAGAGCCTGTGGCCCCGAGGCCTGGGCGAGAAGGCGCTCGTGTTCCTGATTTCGTTGTTAGACGGTGATGTGATGTGATGCACATGAGGATAGGTAACGGGGCGACAAAAACGGTGGCGGATGCTGTGCTCACTCACCAGGGCTTTACCCTCCATCATGGCAATCGGTGTATATGCGTGTTATGGACAGCATCAGCATCACCACCTCGAGCCAAGCACCTTCTCTTCGGCATGGAACCCGAACGATGGATGCAAGCATCCTGCATGGAGATTCCACTTACAGGCTGCAGTCTGCACGATTGAGTCTACGAGACTACGGCATAAGAGGCGGGGATTCTTCTGCAGCTGAGGTACACTACTAGGCATCCCTGCGAGTCACCCGCGTACCCGGCTTAGTTTACAGGGGAGACACCCGACGCTACCACCCGCAGCTCTCAACTTTGTGCCCACCTTTTGCTCCATTGCCTGGCACTGGCAGCAGCTTGCACCCGCAACCAACCACACCACCCGCCCCAAGATGCCGCCAGAGCTCGATCCCAATCTCGATCTCGACGAGGAGTACGCGTCCGAAGAGGACTCGGATTTTGCGCCCGACGCCGCGACCGCAGCCGCTGCCGACGACGACGACGAGCTGTCCGCCTCTGACGACGAAACCACAACCGCCACCACCTCCAAGCCCATCGCCGGCGGCCGGAAACGCCCAGCAGACAATGAGGCCGAGGACGTGGGGTTCGTCAACTCGGGAGACGAGGCCATAATAGAGAAGGGCAAGAAGCGGCGTAAGAAGCCCAAGCGCAAAGATGGAGCCGAGCCCGACGACGACGAAGCGGGCGGCGAGGGCGGGCTGGTCAAGACTCGCAGCATGCGCGCCGTCGAGTGCGTTCCCCTTCCCCTTCCCCTCCCCCTTCTCCCCACCCCCAATACCTCTCTTTCACTTCCACACTTACTAACAACCACGCGTGCTCCAGAAAGGCCAAACGCCAGACCATCACCACCACCGGCCCCGTCACAATCGACGTCGACGCACTATGGGCCCAGATGACCAGCAGCAGCAGCACGCCCAGCGCAGCCAAGCCCTCCACATCACAACAAGACACACCACCAGACCCCAGCTCAACAGCCCTCCTACCACAACGAGACCCAACCTCCACAACAACAGCAGCATCAGCAGCAACAAGCGCCGACCAGCCCGAACTGATCCGCATAAAGCGGACATACAACTTCGCCGGCAAGGTGCACAGCGAAGAAAAGCTCGTGGCGCGCGACTCAGCCGAAGCACGCCTCTACCTCGCCTCGCTCGGCGAGGACGCGCCCCCCGAGGGCAACGAAGACCCCTCGGCGGCAGCAGCAGCAAAGCGCATGCCCAAAAAGGCCTTCCGGTCGGCCTTCGAACCGGCCACGGACCAAGCGCTGCAGCCGCGCGCGGACCTGAACCTGGGCGTGGCGGTGCGGCTGCGGGCGCGCGAGGCCGGCGCGGCCGCGGCTGCCAAGAAGCTCAACACGGTCGAGAAGAGCCGCATGGACTGGGCCGGCTACGTCGACAAGGAGGGCATCAAGGACGAGCTGGCGCTGGCCGGCAAGTCCAAGGACTCGTTTGCCGCCCGCGAGGGCTTCTTGGCCCGCAGCGAGGCCCTCCGGGAGGAGGACGCGCGGCGGGTGAGGCTCGCTGCTGGCAAGCCGTGATTTGGGACCTTTTTCATTTTGTTTGGTGATTGGGTATAACACGGCGTTTTACGGGATTGAAAGAGAAATCAAAGAAGGATACCCCGGGGCTTGGTCGGTGCT